GTGTCTTAAAGACTCTGCAGTGATGATCTGGATGTGCTATTGTGATCTTTACAAATAAAAGCTTGCTCTTTCTCATTGGCAATATACAGTGCTCTGTGAAAGAATTAAAAGCCCTTATTCAATGTCATAACTACAAACTTCATAAATGTATTTATAGCTTTTTCTAGCATAAATAGACACATAATAGTGTATAATTATAATTTTATTAATGAAAAATACAGAACGGATAACCCCTCCTTCTCACTTTACATTTTCTTCTTTTTTCTAGAATTGTATAAAATTCACAATAATGTGCTACTTTTGTAATAGTTTCATCCTATACTTTATCCTATAATTTATGCAAAGCCCATTACAGTTTGTGGGTGTAATGTGAGAAAATGTGATGTTCAAGCTTTATAACAATAGTACAACATTTCATGCAGAAATCTCACAAATTTCATATAGAGCATATTACCAAAAAGAAAATGGTAAAAATGATTTCAGACAAGTTATACTATGTTAGCATTAGGTTGGGGATATGTATTTATCACAACTATTTGTTTAGTGAGAACTCCCACTGTCCAGGTTTGTAAAACAATGGTGATGCATCTGGGAAATTCTTATGCGGCCCTACTAATACCACTGGGGATGTATAAATGAAATCAAAGCATGCTTTTGCAGTTTATCAGGGTAATATATAAAGCTCCTTAGACTTAGACTTAGACAACACGTAATGTCATTTTGTATACACAGAGTGTATACAAAACGAAATTTTGTTTTGTACAGCTCTCATGACATTTCCATTTTCTTAAAGTGCAGCAGTGATCGAATCACAAGTGCATTTATTTGAACGCACAATCAGCATGTTTTTGTTGTTGTTGTTGTGTTTTTATCATTTTCATGCAGCATAGGCAGTCACAGTGCATCCAGATTTGCCCCATCAAAGAATCATGTGGAGCCTAGGAAGCTCCATAATCACAAGAAGGCTGCTGTAGTGTCTCTGGGCTTTCTGCTCTCAAACTAAATCATACAGGCGGCCGAACACAGACAACAGAGCTGCATGGCATGGCTTTTGAAATGTCACTCTAAGAATAGCTTCTGATATGTAAAGGGAGCCCCTATCCAACACAAAAAGCACTTGTTAAAATGTGCAGGGAAGCAAATGGACATTAAAGCATGCAATAATTTATGGATGGAGGCACATACCAAAGCACTTTTGCTTTTAAAAATACTTATAGACATTACTCTACAACTTATTGATGAACATCTGGAACATTTTTTCTTGGTTAAAAGGACAGAAAACCAATAAATCTTGCTGATATCTAATCCGTGGATGGTGCCGGCTGAGAAATTTGACCATAATTTCAAAAGCAAGTGGCAGTAGATCAGTCTGCTTAAAGCTTAGAGTAAAATCCCTCCTGCTCCTATAAAATATGAGCTACATGCTCATTTCTACAATTAATATGGAAGTTGCCCATTGGGGGTCATTTACTAGAACTGATCAAACCCTTTAATATTTGCACTGGTTTTGTTTTTTTTTATTTTGTTTTACTATGTATCCTATCAAATGAGCTTCACAAATAAATGACTTATTACCTATTTATTTACTTAAATGCCAATCACACTTTTCTTTATCTGTTTTTTATGCACTTGACATTATAGTAAAACACATATTTGATCACCAGATGAGCAAGATTTTAAAATTTGTATGCATATCTAAAGAAATATCTTCAAAAATAGCACATCAGCTATCTCGTGCACTCTATCAAGCACATGCAAGCCACTGCAGTAGAAATTCTTCAACTGATATTCATATTAGTATTCATAGCTATGAAGCACTAATATAATAACTTGATCTCAGACTATATAATGCTATCTGCACTCATGATTTTCACTTAATTTGGCAGATGCCCGATAAAACTAATGGCTTTACCAACTGTTATTATTTTTGACAAATAATCTTACATGTTGAATACTCATAAACATTAACATTTCATTCCAAGATGGCTGGTTGTGTCTTAAAGCTAGGAACATGTATACCATTTTACATTGTGCATTTTAAGTCTGTATTAGCCTGAGGTAAATGGGCACACAAAGGCTAGCTGGCTAAAAAAAAAGAAGGGTGCATGTTAGCAAAGACTGGGGACAACCGTGACCCAACCTCTTTCAAAACTGAAACTACACAAATTAAAAACAAACTATATTTTCATCTGTTAAGGTCAAAATAATAGTTTTAGAATTGAGCCAGAGTAAAAAGGTAATTCATTCTAAGAGCAAACTCACATGAGAAAATTCCTCCAAACCTCCATCTTGAGTATAAAAAAAAAACATTCAATCAAGACTGTTTAATTGAATATTCACTTGTGGGTTTAACGTTTCATGTTTTAGAATTAGTAATAAAAAATTATCATGAAGTATCTACACACAAAAAAGGGAACAGGCTTTGGTTATCGTTTGTTTCAGATGAGGAAATTTTAAGCATTGATGCAAAATAGTGGAATTAATAACTAATAAATTAATAAATGTGTGT